TGAATTGGAATATGCAATAGTTAGTGCCTTTAAGAAAATAAGTAACACGCAAAAGGCTTAGAGCAACGCAATAATCTTTGGAATATTTTTTGACATAATTAATGTGTTGTCATAATTTCAGCTGAAGGCAATAAAATCATAATGAATATTTAATTACTTTCCATACTATGTAACCACTAGCCATGTTTATTGCATGGTACTGTCAGTATAAGTGAATAGGTGATGAACACTGGTCACTGAGGGAAAAACAAAATATTAGATGTCCATAAAGAAAACCATGTTGCTATCATGGAATATTTCGACAACAGCTGATCATACTTTTAGGACAATGATTTTGTGTTTTGACTTAATCAGTATTTTTATAAGGTTATCATCCATCAACAATCATAAGTCGTATATACATATCTGTTTTTCTTTCAACACTCATTCACTTATTTAACTTATGTAATAGAAAAGTGATTTTGTTAACATTTCACCATAATTGGGTATTTGCGTAGAATAAAAAGTGGCAGAGGAAATCCTGGGTGCACCACGACAGAGATATGAAATCCTATATACTGTTTAATATTCTAAATTAGTCAAACAGAAACTCATGCTATTATTATTGCTCTCTTGGGTTCCTAGTGGAACATAGGGCTTCAACGGCACCTCTCCACTTGCTTTTGTCTTCTGCTGTACTTTTCACCTGCATCCATATTAGTTCATACTGTTTCAACTCCTCTTTACACGATCTCCTCCATGTCACCCTTGTACTGACGTCCCACTCGCCGCTTCCCTTTCGGGTTCCACTCGAGCAATGGCCTGACGCGCGCGCGATGTCACCCAGCGGCCTCCTCAGCGAGTGTCTAGTCCAACTCCTGCATTCTACTATTCACATTTCATTGTCAAAAGTGCAATATTATCGTTTTCTGCAATCTAAAGCATTTCTATCAATAGGAGAAAATTCTTATTTAAACATCATGTCCTAAGATTTAGGTATTTTCGTTGAACGTGAAATAGCCTTTGTAATTCTTTTTTGTCTCCTCTGTTTTTTAACCAGAATAAGTGTTCCAGAAAAAAATTTCCTTGGTTTCTAAATGATTCGAGTTGTGAATTTTGTTTTAGTACACTAAGTTGAAATAAAAAGTACTTCCCCTGAGAATAATCAGTGATTCTTATTGATTGCTTCATTATTTTTTATTTTACTTTTATGGACCTCATGCATTATAGCTATCCAGGAAAATTTATTTTAAGTCATATTCAAAATTATATATCTACATACATATTTATATCAAAATCAGTAGCAGTAGTGCAATGTGCCCTCCACAGTTTATAAAATGTATATGATAATGTAATTTTCAAGTTAGGAATTGCATTCTTTATTTGAAACAAAATTTTAATGCAGACATTTTAGATTTAAAGCTGTAGTCGAATAACTACAACACACTAATGATACCAGCCTGCACTTGATTTTGATCGTGAACTATGCACTTTTTCGAAGTGAAATTATTCGTTGCGTTCAGTTACTTTGGCAGAATAATAAGCAAATAAAAATACTAATTCAATAAGTAAATTTTGTATATGAAGACAAAAAAATTTAATAATTTTACTCAAATACTGTATTATAACAGGCAGGTGTCAGAATCGGAAGGCTCTTTAAGTATTCCACGTACATTCTTTTTTGCGTTGAACTTCATGGTAAATCTCAATTACTTTTGGTATTCATAAGATTATCTAGGGATATATCGTGGTTTATTCCTTGTCATATGAATAGTGAACTATCATCCCAAAATCTTGAATGTATTTTTATACAGAATGACCCTCATTTGTTGAATTTCAAACAAAGTATGTAACAAAGAATCTACCAGTATTCAGGTTTATCGAAAATCAAGTGACATACAATGCATTCAGGAATTGCTTCCCTTAATTTCTCCATGACGATGGAAATAGTGTAATGGTAGTCTGAGTCTTAGTGCTTGTAAGTTGGATGACTGTTGAAAGTTTGAAAATGTGAATGTGAAGTATAGATAACTTGCATTTTCATATTTTCACACAAAACAACTGACATCGCCATTGGTTTCAATACATGCATGTTTTCATCTGATGGCAGTTCATAACTACTGTAATCCAAAACACCCATGTTTTTGCCAGGAATGTTACTTTCTAATTCAATTGTATTGTATATTTTATTAGTAGTTCATCGGTGATTTTTTCACCAGAGCAGTGTCATTACACACTGTCAACCAACTTAAGTATCCCAATATGATTTTGAAAACAGGTGAATAATACTGTCGTAATCTTCAATGCCCCTGACGGTGGACTACCACTGGAAATGAAATTCTGAAAATGCATCATATCAGTTATAAATGTCTGCAAGTATTTCCAAGGAATGTAGGTATGAAAACATAAGACCTCAGTGCTCTTCCTCGATCATATTCTTAAATAAAATGTAATGACACCGTGTAAAAAAAGTTTTTAGAGAAATTTTCGTTTTTGTACAGTCTGTATTAGATAAGGTATTTTGGGAATGAATTCCTAGAAAATTCTGCTTCGTCTGTTACAAAATTCATTATACATAAAAATCTCTTTTAGAAAGATTGCCTGTCAGAACGTCAGGTTACAAGATGAACTCTGATGATAACGAAAGCGGATCAAGGCTATTTTAGAAATAAAAAGAACATGTTTCTATATCAAAGACATTTTAAAACATGTGTAAATAGATTTCTGTGAGGTGAAATCGGTGTAATCAGGAGACATTTGGTCTGGTTTTAATCCACTTTGACAAGCTGACATAATAGTTTTTGTGAAAATTCCCACTAATCTTATATATCGTGCTAAACAACAATTATACTGGTCACACTTATTCAACTGAACAGTAAATAATATTCCACACAGAAAATCTTATATAAAGCGTTATTACTTATTTCTGTTCTATTCCTTTGCTCTTTCGGTGGACATGGGACTTCAAGCTTTGATTTTTAGAAATTTCGGTAGCAGTAGTGTTATTTGTTTATGGAATGGGGTTGATATCCCCACTCCCAGCCTTCCGTCTTTCCCAGTCTTGTTACTGGTTAAACGAGGTTTAGGAGTATGGAGAGCATTTTGCTGCCGAACCACCGACGCACCAGAAATAGCGTTAGGTCATGTAAATCCATTATTAGAACAAAATAACAGAATACCAGTGAAAGAAACCTGTTTTCGCTCTACTTGGACTAGGATGTTCGAATTCTGTAACAACCACTGTTTAATTTTTTCTAATGAATTAAACTCGGTTTAGATATATGCAAAGAGAAGAAAGTCTGTGTGCCTTTCGTTGAACATTTCTTTTCATATTTGCGACAAATGTAGATATTTATTTCATATAACAACAGTAAATTTGTTTTAATAAAAAGCATTATTAACGAAGGAATTACAATCAAAGTCTGCATGTCAGATAGTTTTAGTTGAAAATTACGAAACTGTCAAATTTAATTACCAGTAATTTTGTGTGATTCATTGCGTTTTATTTTTATACACTTTACTTGCTCGTGAATTTGAAACAGAACTTAAAATACCTATATTGCAGTTATTTATTTCCAGGAAAAAATTAACTCACTTCGGTGCGTGATGAATGATCATAGTACTAACTGACAATCTATGCAAAGCTGTAGTCTAACACAGCCATCAATTATATACTGGTAACCGAATTGATTGCAGACACGTTGTTCTCACTTGTTAATATTTGAGTTCATATAAGTAGTGATGATTGGATAATATCTTTGATAGACGATAAAATATTATAAACATTTAATGGCATATAGCTAAATCTAAAAGGACAAACTGGTGAAATATGAGATACTTTGGTACGTCATTGAGTATATGCATTCAAATAGATAGAATAAATTTATTCTTACCAACTAATAAACATTACTTCACAGCCTCTTAAAATGACTTTGACGCCATATTTTTTAAGCAGACTTCAGTGGCACAGTAGTTAGGACGCTGGCTGACTATGCACATGGTCTGGGATTCAATCCCCTGCCGACGCATACCTGAAACAAACGGTCGATCTGCTAAATTTGGGCTACAGATAGCACATGCTAAAAATTTCATAGGTGTACCAGAATACCGTATGGAATTAAGCTCCAATAAAGAATAAATAAAAAAAAGATAGGCCAAAACAAAGTGATTTTGGGAAAGAGAAAAAATAGGGATCTCTTTGTGCTAACTTGAAGACACTGTAATATTATTCATAATATTTTGACAGTCTATTCAAACTAACAAATCTCATCGTCAAATACATTTTCATTCTTACGGAAACGATATATATTAGATTTTATATTAGGGAGGCTTGAGTTATATTAATGAAATGAAATAGAAACCAGTATTCATAAAATACGTGTCATCAATTCACAAGGTGCGACACTGGGCATCAACAACACATCTCCATTTCTTCCTGTTCCCTGCAGTCCTCTCCAGCTTACTCTATAATTGCTTTCATCTCGTCCTCATACGACCAACTCCTTGTCAAATTCTGACGCCCGAAATGTACTTTCCTATTCAGGTTCGATTCAGAATAACTGTATCTTATTTTGTTCAAACCCCAAAATTTCTTCACAGAAAAATACGAACTTTACAGTATATTGTCGATAGTGTACTTCAAGATTGTTACCAACAGCGGAATTATACACAATGGCTTAAAAGAGAGCAATAAACCACGAAGTGCACCAAACAGCCTGGGTAACTTGACTCAGAAAACAAATGAAAATGTCACAAAAAGTATGAACTCTATGGTCCAGTATTGATGATACGGCAATGCTCAGTGTTTTTGAGCGGATGCTTCACACAATAAAATTGATAGGGTGTTATAATTCTACAGAGTTTTTAGGATCTTTTATCTATAAGGATATATTCTGTACTTCATTTTCGGGTTTTGTGTGATACTTTTAAAGAGCAGTTAGTTACCTGACTAATTTTTTAACAGAATAACACTTGGAAATTTATCATAAAATTATTGCCTACTTCTCTTTTTATTTTATTAGATATACCGCTATCATGTTCCCACTTCGGCCACGTTCAAAACTGAAAACAGTTATCTGTGTTATAGCAGCTATATGGTTAATATCGTTTGCCATCGGGTTACCTGGTCTAGTTGTAGCTACCGTTTCTCAAAAAGAATCAGTACCGTTTGGGAATATGATGAATTTAACAGACGAATTCGCTACAGTAAACCAAACTTTCTCTGAGTCTATCGGTCAAAACGTGTCAAGTGTTTGTATTTACAGTTGGTCTCCAGAATGGTCCGATGCGTGAGTCTTTATGATGATTATTGTTTGAATTTATATGAATGAGTCAGTGAAAATTTGAGATAAATACAAGATTTCTAGCGTGCATTTTTATTGATGTTACAGTTCTCTTAAATGAGGCAAAGTTATTTTTAAATGTAGCAGAATAGTGGAGCCATCGTCAGTATAATAAATATGCACATTTCGAATGATTAAACTATGAAAGTTTTCGCTCTTATTTATCTTTATGAAATCTGAAACTTACCTTCAAAACTCCTATAGGGATTTCAAAGTAAGAATGTACGTATATCGTACCACTACCCACATTGTCATCAGCATTTCCATACAATACAGCAAGTGAAAAAACGTTTACCTATTCACGAAGTGATGTAGGTTAAAGTACTTGAGATATATTCTCTGGAATATCCTTACAGGTTAAGGAATAACAAACACGTCTATCTCAAGGAAAATACGTTTTTACCACAGTCAATTTTAATAAAAGATAACAGAATGCAACGCGAGTGAATCAGAACTGGCGTATATTTGTTACTTTCCTTGTGGAACTTGAACAAAGCAAAATCAGTAAAGTGAGAAGAAGAATATTGTTTCATTTCGTTGAGTCGCATCAGATGCTTATGTTTTACAGCCATTTCATATCAGTATGCAAAAACTGACACACTTTAAACGTTGAGCACAAATATGGAGGGTTACCTACCCTGTCATATGCTCTGATGGTGTTCTCGTGACTTTTGTTGCCAGATCTGCCAAGGGCGATGGGATAGTACGCAACCTAATGGTTGTGTGCAAGGTTTGAAGAAGGCTGTGTGCTATATGCATGCGCCTCGCCCTGATAATGTTTTGCGTCGGTGGCATAGTGGTTAGGACGCTGGCCGACCATGCATATGGTTTGGGGTCCGATCCCCGGCCGACGCACTCCTTTGCCTTGCTAAGCCAGAAATAATCCTGGTAAAGAGGAAAGGTTGGTTATGAGGCTAGCAACCCCATCCTGTAAAATAATCACTGCTACAGAAACTTCAAGCCGCTATCTTGAAGCCCTATGTTCCACTGGGGATTGTAAAGGAAAAAAAAACAAATATGGATGTTGTAAATACTGTACGATCAAATAGCGTAATGGGGAAGACAAAATATGTTTCGTATACTATTAAATCATACTAGGAATGTGTTTCATTTTCTTGAGTCCTTAGTCCACTGAATTTCATATTGTAGAAGTTTATTTCAGATACCACGCACTGACGCTGTATTATTAACTGGAGCATAAATTATCCCTCATAATCATATCAACTTAGTCACATTACTGCATAATTAGACTTATATTAGTACATTTGTGCATCGGACCATGTGCAACCATGCACTTGGAAAAGTGTTGCGTCTCACATTAATAACCAGTGTAGCTGTTGTTGATTTTTGCAGCAATTAGGACAAGACAGCAATAATGTTCCGTATTTAGTACACTTTTTACCTTCAAGATTTAATCCCAAGAAATACCATGATTGACAATAGATAACCTATGGCTCCAATTACTGATAATAACATCCTCAGATGTCATATGGTTGGAGATATAATCAATCTCTAATTATCAGTAAGCACGAAATCTTCTTTCATGACATTCAGCTTCAGTTCAACGTGATGACGTCTGCTTTGATATTGACAAAGTGACGGAAACATCATGCCTTTCAGATTCTTTCAATCAAATTGAAAGTATAGGATAAATTTTAGTCCATTGATTCATTTTAACAAAGTCATAGATAAGACAGTGAGTGCGACTGATTCCAATGAGTAAAGTAGTCGCGTTTATATTTCATTTTCTCAAAATTTCTTCCAGTGCTGGAGTAATGGGAGCAACCTATTTTTTGCTTTATTATTTTAACCCATAATAACCTTAACTATTGCTAAAAGCGCGATATGGTATCAAGATAATGATTAACAGGCATCAATTCAGCAAGTGAGTGTATGTTTGCTACATATTTTCAGTTATCTTAGGTTTAAATGGTAATATTACAAGTTACAGACGGTGAAAATACTAAAGTTTCATGTATAGACAGTTCATGTTCATTAATTTCTTCGAAGATAGATGTGTCTAATTGGAAGATTTGGCTGACGTTATTCATAAAAATATTTGTAATGTTTTAGACGATAACAGAAATACAGTCATACAGATTTTTAAAAAATACAGTAGATTGGGAAAATTCGTATGTAATTTCTTCGATACTGTCATTTTATGTGCCATTCTTAGACTAACTACAAGGATATTTTTCTTTTCGGGAATTAGGTGGTAGATCACTCATTTTTCAAACACCAAACATAAAACAATTATTCACAAGTTTAGCAGTGGTTAATGCATGATTCATCTACACTGTTTCTCTCAATAAAAGACTTGTCGCGCAGTGCCTCTTTAAAGACAGTCCACATGTGGTATTCTTATACATTCAAAGAATTCTCTTGGATACGGAATCATTCATCCAGCATATTATTTAGATATTATCTTGTATATGGTTTTATATTTAAACTATCTTCGCAAGAGGCCATTTGTTATTTTGATGAAATCATATAATTAAATTTACAAAAAACGATGATTTTTGACAAGTGGATTTTTCTTTTAGGTATGATTACACATTGTTTATCTTAATGTATGTTCTGCCGTTGATAATACTCGCCGCCACCTATGTCCCAATCTCAATTCACTTATGGTTTCATAGAGGACTTGGAGAGGTTACCAGAGCACAAGCTCAAAATGTTCGTTCTAAAAGACGTGTAAGTATTTAGAAAGTTTTTTGGTATGACTGCTCAAATGATAATGTAATTTTAGCAGATACCCAATAAATTTCGTCAGATGTCTAGAATACCCAGTTTTGCATCTTTTTAAAATACATTTCATGTTATTTTGATAGAAAAAGCTTAAGTGTTTAACCATTATGTGATATTTTGTGATTTCGTGAGGTTGGGTGTTTTTGTACACAGAAAGTATCTAGTCGATCAGTTATCTATACTGCTAGAACAACTCCAAAGATAATTTTTGAATCCACTGGCGTATATAACTGAACAGTCATAAAGTCAGATTCAAGGAAGTAAAATAGTTCAGTTGTTATTTTATTTAGTATCCTACTTTGTTCTTCAGTGATTTGTTAGGTTTCCAACCACTCTCCATAATTTGTTAATCTGTATGTAATTCTTGTTATTACATTTAGTAACCGCTTATTGGGTTTTTTGAGTTATAAAAATGTTTTGTACCGCTGCCATAAATATTACTCGTTTCTTTTGCATAATTAGGTTTCCATATTTGAATAATATAATAGGATTAGAGAATGGTGTTTTATGTACTGAGATAAGCATGGTGAATCCAGTTATCCAACTGTTTCACAAATTCATTTATCTTATACAGTGTGCAATAACACAGTTTTCATATATGGCTGGCTAATCAGCGAAACGGTCTTCCGAGTGGTTAGATCACTTCAGTTTACCTAACAAGCACTACTAATTGATGTGAGTGGTATGCAACTCATCCCCAACCATCAGGGGTACATAGGGTAATGTAATGTTGCTTGATAACCATTTTTAATATCAAGCGGAAAACATATTGTGATCTGATTAATTTTGGCTTCCAAAGGAGACTGTGATAAAAGTTGGCATCGTGCTGCATAAATTGCTAATTGCGACTTAATTTTCAACTGACGAATTATATTCAAGACAGTTTTTAATTATAACTGTCAGAGTATATCAAAACAGATTAAACAAAATTAAGTGATCACGGATTCAGTAGGCCAAATCAACCAGTAATAAAATGAACATATTTGTTTCCCCCATAAACGCAGCTGCATGAAGCTCTTTCAAGCAATGAAACCATGTTCTCGAAGTACATGTCTTGTATGTTCACTACTGTAAAAATGGTTACTTTAGTCTAATTTGTCACTTGCTTTTTCCTATAGTTTGTTTGTCAGGATTAGATTTGTTTATTCAAGTTTGACCACAGATTGATATCATTTAGAGAACCATTGAGAATCAGGTAGTACTGGACAGCTGTTTTCATCCTAGTTTGGAAATCATTGACAGTATCCACTTACTGGTTTTCGAACACAGGACTTTCCAAATACAAGACAAGCAAACTGATATCAATCTATGATCGAACTCGTATAAACAAATCTAATCCTTATCAATAAGCTCTTGAAAATTAATCGGATGATCTCTAGTGACTTGCTTTAGGACAGGGTTTTCTGGAGTTCTAATGAGAAGTCCTGATCAGTGAGTTTCATCCAGTTGAGTATGAGGATGGATGCCCCATCAATGACATTGGCTGAGGTCGCGTTAAATTCACGAATTGTTAGAAGTTAGAATTCAAGCACTGGCTATTGAACCGGGTACCAGTGACTGAATGGTATACGAGCTTGCCCTGTAACCGGAAGGTCCTGTGTTCGAAACCCAGTGGGTGCGTACTGTCGATGATTTCCAAACTAGGATGAAAACAGCTGTCCAGTACTCCCTGGTTTTCAATGGTTCTCTAAATGATATCAATCTGTGGTCAAACTTGTATAAATAAATCTAATCCTGACAAACCCAGTGTAGAAAAAAAACCCAGCGAGAAATTAAGCTAAAATAACCATTTTTACAATAGTGAACATACTAGAAGTTAGTGACTACCAAGACATGTACTTCGAGAACATGGTTTCATTGCTTGAAAGAGCTTCATGCAGCTGCGTTTATAGGGGAAACAAATATGTTCATTTTATTACTGGTTGATTTGGTCTACTAAAACCTTGGTCTTAAATAACAAGTACGTATTACTTTGCGCATTTGTGTAGTTTTTATTTAATTTCAAATTTCACAATTCAGCACTCGTAATATTTTCTTTTTTTTCAAAGGCTGTGAAAATGCTTTGCGCAGTTATGCTTATATTCGCGATATGTTGGCTACCGTATCAGTTGTTTTTCATTATTGTACAATTAAATCCAGCAATTAAAAATAACCATAAGTTACCAATTGTGTTCATTTGTTGTTATTGGCTAGCAATGAGTAATTCAATGTACAATCCAATTATATATGTTTTAATGAACAAGAAGTAAGTTGGCAATGTAATTTTTGCATTTTATTGTATCTGCTGGAAAGAAACTTCAACTTCTATTGCATTATGATTCTGGTGTTAGTCCCCTTAGTTTACTGAATATATACAGTAAATATTTACGTAATAACACTTGATAAGAAGTTTTATTTAATTTTCACTTTCGCGTAAAATATTCACTGTTTATTTTCAGATATACAGATAGATACATGTTTGATCAAATGCTTTTGTGGAACTAAATACAACAGATTTAACTGAATTTTTCTACAAATGCCCCTTTTTATGAAAATGAGCATTATGACAGTCTCGAGTGCTAAGAATATATGTGTATATTGTGGTTTAGATAAAGCTATAATGACGTTTTAGGTTCAGAGCATTGCTAAGTGTAGTTTCGTTTCGATAAAAATGAGACTTTTATTATCACGTGTCTGTTTGAGTTGGAACTTTTATTTTCAGTGTTTCGACCTCTGATAAGTTGCTAAAGCTAAATGTGATTAGCAGTCTGGTGATTTGAGTGTCCATTAACAACTCAGTGATGGCCACTAAACAGATTTCTTGAAGTTGCAGTCGGAAGGCATGAGCGTTGGTGTCCGCCATGCCAAAGTGAAGTGGATGCTAGCCAAAGGCATCGGTAAAAGAGCTGTCACAGTTAGAATTCACGGGTCATTGAATTCCAGCCCGAACGCTCGAATGGTTAACAAGCCTGTTCTCATAACCTGAAGGTCTCAGGTTTGGTCTGTGGTGGGGCCATGAACAGCCTCAGATAGGAAGAGACAGCTATCCATTGCTTTCTGGCTGGTGACGAAAACCGAACAACTGAAATTAATCCCAATTACCCACAAATACTAAAATCTGAAAATGAATAATAACAAATAACAAGTATAATTTACTGTTATTCGCAAAATGCCAGGGTTTGAAGTTAAAATCTGTGAGTCAACGTGCTTTACCCTCAGTATGTAATACCAATAACCATGTGACATTCAAAATGATTGAATGAATATTTGATCAGACACAATAAAATGAAATAATCCCGTTTATAATTCCAAAATGAATGTGCTTTACTGTATGGCATATAACTTAAATTGTGTTATTATTCATTCAGTGATTATGAAATATAACGATGCGATACTGGCTTTCTAAAATCATATCTATTTTAATTCAAAATGCTTGAATTTGCTTATGAATGTCCAAGGCTATTTTTCGTCAAGAAATGGTGAAAGATGTTGAAGTAAGACGAACGATTCACCTCATACAACGTTTTCTTTCCTCGAAATTGTTTTTCATAAATATGTCATACAACTGTAGTGCATGACAAAAAATTATTCATTTAAACTCATATCGTTAGAAACCACCGATGTTTACGACAAAATCTACAAAAGCACCTGACATAACTTATATATAAAGCTGTATCACCAGTTCAAGTAAAACATCATATAATTCACTCTTTTTTCCCAAAGCAATGAGTACTTCAAAGAAAGAGTCACACAATCTTCTAATATTTTATTAATTGCTACTGACGTATGTCATTTTCAGGACAGTGGAACACAAAAAGTACAAAACCAAATATGCCTTACTCTATGGGATACTAATAAATAAAACTGTGTTTCCCTTTGAAGTTCACAACTGTCAGAAGAATACTCTATATCAGTAACATTCCTATCATTACCATAACCTATTGATTTCAACCGAAATAACAGTACCATTTGAGCGAAATGCTTTTTATCTATTGACATTACAAATATGTACAAGGGCTACTTCCACTAATCATGTGGACAAGCCTTGTGTATTCAAGCAGAAGTCAATGAATATTAGACATTACTGTGCGTCGGTGGCACAGTGATTAGGACTCTCGCCGACCATGCACATGGTCCGGGGTTCGAGCCCACGCCGGCGCACACCTGATATCTATGGTCGGCCTGCGAATTTTGGGCTACCGATATCCATGCTGAAAATTCCATACATGTACCAAAAATACGGTGTGGAATCAAGCTGTAAATCAAAAAAAAAGTTTGTCGTTACAACTGACAAAGCTGAGATAATACGGCGATTATCTCAAGCTGCAAGATGAAGGGTAAAAATCTATTTACCTTACGTCGAGGTATTTAGGAGCTACGTTTTAGTAGAGAAAGTAGAGAGAAAGGCTCAACATTTTCTCATGAATCTAATATAATAATATATATGTAATATAATATAATATATGTATAATATAATATAATAATATATGTATATATAAATCAACCACTGTAGGGGATTTATTCACAAAATCTTTAATATTTAACATTGAGAAACTGCATGCTTTTGTTGGTAATGTGTCCTCTTACTTTCCTACAAGCGTAATCACTAATATGTTAATTAGAAAGAATATGAAGGATTCCAATGTAAATCATTGAGCTAAGGGAATACAGTAACATCGAAAATATCCACATGATTTCAAACCGTTGTGTCCAATAGGTCACTAGAAATGAGCTAAATGCTACACTGCTCATGCCATCAGACGCATGTTTCTAGATGGTACTAATTAACTGTTTATAAGCATGTACTGTTTTATGTAAAGAGTTGAAAATTTGTTGAACTTGCATCTTTTTGTGAAAGTTATTCCATGTTAGGAAATATTTTTAATTATTCTTATCAGAAAAACAAACTCATAGGTAAGTATATATTTAGCACCTTATTTTACTAGGAAGCGTGAAAGTTAACTCTTAAAAATTGGGAACATTCTTCTCACCTTTTATTTAGTGTTTTATAAAGCTTTTAATTACTACTGTTCATAAGTACCTTTATTGTAACCATCAAATAAGCCACCTGAAAATACTCCGTAAATCTAAAGAGTACTGAGAGACACTGACTCACTTTCCCTAACAACAATTTTAATTATGTATCAACCTTTCACTGCAGGCTGATGACACGATAGTGATATTAATGTAATAAAATGTTATTCCTGTTTAGCATTTTCTCAAATATGTGTAGACACAGAACAGTATTTCTGAAAATATGTAGATAACTTTGGAAGCAAATTTTGACCTGTGAATGCTTGTAAATCCTAGCTAATTTCACTAACAAATATTTGACTATATTATTAAAATTCACTAGATCAGTTGCCGTTAAGGCTGCCTATGTTTCTGAAGTTTGGCTAAGTACATGTGTAAGTCAGTTCCTACTGTTTTGAAGTTTGATGGAACTGGTCGACTTAAATTTTCACTTATGGTTTAAGTAGCTAGTATATTATTTATTGAGGCGCTTAGTGAACATTGTTAACAAAGATGTTATTACTATCACTAATGATAAAAACAGTAACAGTTATGTTTCCTCCAACAAATGAATGTCTTAAGTTCAATTTTCACGTTTCATCGAGTGTTTTTTCTGCTTTGTTTTTCATCATGGTGATGGTGAAAATCGACTGGTGTATAACAAATCTACAATACCAACAACAATCAAAATCCCGATATCAATACAGATTTCGTAAAGGCTTCTACACAGTATTTTCATGTTTCCCTTGGTGCCGATCGTATATCAAGAGGGACAGAAAAATGACGACGAATACTGCAACAGTTAATACATTACTTGATTAACAATCCCAGAAAATATTATCAGTGGTGTAAAATCATCGAGTAGACGGTCTTATGAAAGTATCAATATATGATCTAGATAAATCAACGTTTCTCAGTGTGTTTAAAACAAAATGTATTTACTAAATTCTACATCACTTTCTTCACTTCTCATTTTACTAACTGCTTAATTGTCTTTTACCTTTTACTTATAATGGAAAGCTTATAATTTTATCAGTTTTTAACTATTGGTTTATATATATATTCTGTTTATTTTACAGTTGAGATACTTGTATTATGGTAATATTGTCACTTTGATTATTATACAACATTCAAATGAAACCTGAAAGTCGTGTGAATACTTTGATATGATTATGAGCAATAAATTGTGCTCAAAACATCATTAATAAATGGATAATATTTTATCACTGTATGTTATATCACCAAATAAAACTATTTCATCATGGAATCTGGCCAAACTGTTGAAGCTTTAATTTCACTTCTTCAGATGTACTGAAAATGCTGTAAGATAAGTTTTGTTGGCAAATGTATCCAGTGATGAAATGTCCACAGTCAGCTTACAAAGCTTAGAGAGCACAAAAACATTACCATCTTCGCCCTAAACTTCTAATTTCTTTTCAGCAAAATGAAGATGAAAATTTCTTACCCCAATCACCTATGAAGTTTATTTGAGCGCAGAATATAGAGAATGGGAAGCGAACATATACATGTGCGTTGGTGGCACAATGGTTAGGACTCCCACCGACCATGCACATGGTCCGGTGTTCGATCCGCTGCCGGCGCACACCTGATATCTATGGTCGTCCTGCAAAATTTAGGCTACCGATATCACATATTGAAAATTCCATACTTGTACAAAAAATATAGTGTGGAATCAAGCTGAAATCAAAAAAAATTCGTAGGTTGTTTTGCATTTCTAAAACTGCTATGCGAACGTCTTTACATAAACTGACTTTAAGTCACAAATTACCTAGTGTTTGTTTACAGTATGTGATTATACACGAATGGCTATACTCCACATTGTTTTGATGTTTCCAGTTTACGTGAAAAAATTGGTCTACTTCGAAAGCAAAACGATAATTTAATTCTAATGTACGAAAATTTAAACTATTTAAATCCAACAGTACACTTAATACTTCTATGACATCACGATTTTAATTTGAAAAAAAGCATACCAATTTTGTGTTCTACACTTTAGTTACTAGGGGTTACATAGTATTAAGTAACTAAAACCATCTTGTGATTTTATTCCTATATTTACAGTAGTGTTAAGTGAGTGAATGCCAAAGCCACTTATTCAGGAGTGATTACTGTATGTCCACATTATGCTGTTAACATAAATTGCCTCTCTGTACAAGCCTAACATTTTGATTGTTTGCTTTCTAGATGAATCCATGAAACCTCTGACTCCTCCCCCAAACTATTCAAACAAAATTTTAAGTTGTCCAACTTCTTATAGATAAAATGCACTTCAGTAGAAGAGCTTTAGAAATCATTCAGATGCAAAGGGATAAAAGACAATGGATTAATCGTGAAACATTAAGATTTAATTACTGTGGAAGAAACGAAAAGTTAACTAGCTGCAGTATATAGTGGAGAAGACCCCAGCCATGTGGTGTGGTAAAATTTCTAATGGGTGACATGAAGCTCAAAGTGGGGACAGATATTAAAACTGATTTCGGAAGAATGCGAACGTGAACAATGAAAACAGGAGGTGAGCTCAGCGAACGGAGAAGCTAAGGAAATGAAAAAGAGAGCAGAAGGAAGGTAAGGTACCTCCTGATTGATAGGAGGGCGGCTCTATTAAACTGCTGAAGAGCAGCAACTTAAGTCTTTGCGAAAACTGGCCTGGAATCATGCTCTTGCTAATTCCATGCAAAATATGAGGCTGCATCATTGTAAAGGAAGGAATCCATAGGTAGGAACGTCACCCATTTACGTAGACAGTATCAGTCGTCTCAACTTCATGCTGCGCAGAATAGATGTTAAGGCTAAAAATGAATCAGAAAGTCGGTGCGAAGATGTGCAGAAAGAAGCTCAATGAACAATATTCGAATCTTCAATACTAGTGTCAAATCAGTGCTTTTCTATGGTTTAGAGATAGGCTATTTCAGGTTGTCGTCAGCAGCTGCCTTCTCTGGCTTGATACTTAACGTAAGATAGTTTGCTGGCTGGCATCAAAATCAACCAAGAACCTACTAACCGATAAATATTCAGAATGAGAATGGGATCGACTGGATGTAGGCTGGTTAGATACTTAGGTAGCATCACATACCCAATTAGGAACAGAAGAATTGAGTGTCCAGTGGTGACATGGAGGAGATCATATGAGGAAGAAATAAGGAATTTCAGTAGTCGGATAACCAGGTGAGATTGATGGCAGACAACCGCGTGCAATGTTTGTAACTCTGAAGATCTAAATTCCTCTTGGAATTCAATGAACGAATAGTTAAGTGAGCATTCAAAAGCATTCTTCAAAGCTGTTTATTAATATTCAAATAAGGAAACAACCACGAAAATCTCTTTAGTTCAGGTAACTACGAAATAACATTTAGCTGGATGTATAAATTCTTATAAAAACATTATTTAACAAGTCAGATGCATACAAGGGAATGAAATAACTTTTTTCCCAGTTTGCTCAGTTTAGAATTCAACCTTAGACCCTAGCTTTTTTCTCTGTAAGCAAAAATAATTTGTAACGAATGCTCTAGTTTTACTCCTACATCCTTCTGTCAATTTATAAATTAAGTTGTGTGGTAAACGTCATAGTAAAGTGACAAAAGCAGACATGAATGCATGTAGGGCAACGATATCTGTTAAAACATCACTGTTTCAACTAGGATACAAGCTGTCAAGAAAATCTGGGTCAATCGAGAGAAAAAAACATCGTAGTTTTCCATCAACCGTTAGATCATTCCTATTGTGATGTATGAAATGAGTGTCATTTGTTTAAAATATTCGAAATTTAAAACCAATGTATTTAATTCCCTCTGAGAGAAAGTTTTCAGAAGAAATACACAGACGAATTGTAATTCTAACTCGTCTTCGTTTAGAAAGAAATTGAGGGGAGAAATAGCCAGACACTTTAAAAAACCCATTTCAGCAGTCTCAAATTTACTGATTTTATGATTAAGCAAGCATGTTTCACAAATATTTAGAGACCTGCTGAGTACTATTAAAAGCTTTGTACTTCCATCACTTCACATCTATTTTCATCGCATTTTTATTTCACCGGAAAGAAATTTCATAGGAGACAAAAGTGTCAGAAGCCCTAATCTGAACATTGTATAAACAATTTCTCGTAAGTTTTATTAACTTGACTATAAATACA